AAGTCACAGAATACTTCATCTGGACGTGGAGCGGAGGTGCACATTGCGGGCTCGGGGAGACCCCCGAAAACGAGCCGAATGCTCTTCGGGGCGCGCCCCGTGAGCCGGCTGCAGGCCGGCCGAGCAGACAGGTTCCTTTGCGTATCTGTTACCTTAGCAAAAGCCACGTGTTTTCTTCATCTCTTTTTTAAAGTGGAACATTTAGTTATGAAAAATCTTCCAGCCAGTTCCCTTTTCCAGATTGGCTCCACACAGTCAGTTAAATCGCGTGGCGCTTCAGAAGCCATATGGCTTTTTATTCATCGACTACCGGTGTTCTGGACGCGGCGTACAAACCCGAGTCATCAGAAGGTGGAACAAAGCAGGCGAGTACCGCGCCCCTCAGTGCCCATCAGCGTTCCCCCGTGGCAGGTTACAGTCGCTAAAAAGGACAGTGTGCTCGTCCGGAACCGGCCCCGTCAGGACAGGCTGTGAGTGAGGACCGCACGGCACCAATGTGGAGTAAGGTCCGGTTTCCATGCCCTTGTCGTGCGTCTGCTCAGGCGGGTGAGGCTCTGAGTCCTCTTCTGAGCGCGTGGGTGGCTCGTGAATCGGAAACTCCTAGAAGGCTCAGTGGAACGAGGAGGGTCACCCTCCACAGAGCACCCACGCAGCCCCCTCCTGTCTGCTGACGCCCGCATCACCAGTGTCCTGCTGCCGACCCGGGGAGGCCACTCGACCTCGGGGCCTGTGCCCTCTGTGCAGAGCCAACACAAGGTGCCGGGAGGCAGCGTGTCAGTGGACAGAGGCTGCGTCGCTGTGCGTCACCTGCAGGCATTTCTACTGAGACAACAAAGCACTGACAGCAGCGCAATCAGGTCACTGCTGTCCCATCGTCACTGCCCGTGAAATCGCCAGCCGTCGACAGGGCTGATGCCCACCGCGTTGGCCAGTGAATTCCACTTGGCTCTCGTCAGTCATCTGGGGAGGAAGCCGCACGCGGTCCCAGAACTGATGCAACATGAGCTACCTGCGGGCTCGTCACCAACCCTCAGACAGCAAACATAGCTGGTGGGCATGTCGGCCATTCACCTTAAAACGAAGACTCAGAACGCACACGGGGTTAGTGACGTGACTCCGGAGGGGGGTGGGGCGTCCCCCTCACGTTGCCCCCAAGGCCACCCTCCTCTCAGCCCAGGGACTGAAGCAAAGCCTCAGGCGGGATGGCGGGTGGGTGGAGGGGCTCGAAGTCACGGCCAGCCGGAACCACAGCACTAGTTTTAGAACAGAAACTTCCAGCGTGTCGCTCGCTGTGTCCCACAGTCCTTACAGATGTAAGTGGGCGGGACACAGGAAAATGCGAGTGGCAAGAGGACCCTTCAGTGGCACAAACTCCAGCGAGGCCCCAC